CCCCCAAGGTCCTGGCATCAGCCAACTGCAGGTCTTTTAATGTATTTTTAATGATAAAATAAGCTGAAATCATGACAAATCTAGAGATGACATTCCGGTCCTTGGACTATTTTGTTTTCATTTCCTCCTTGAGACAGGCCTTAAAGGAATCCCATCTGTTCATCTTCACCAGGTGAGACTGAAATAACCAACATGATACATAAATCATAGTTCCCAAAAGAATGTAGCTATGGTCATAAATATAAACTATAACAGTAAACATCATAGTAATCAGCAAAGTGGTAATCACGGGTTTTACATCTGAGGGGCGATGGTGACAAGGGTTCTGTTTCAAGTTAAAACAAGCAAAAATCAGTTAAATATGAAAATAAATGATAGCAAATACACTTCTATGAAAGGTTTTTTTTTTTTTTTATATTAGTTTCATAAAACAACTGATATATAAACCCTCATGAATCAATAAAAGACTAACAGCAGTGCATAAGATAACTACAACAGTTTCTTTTTTCTCCAAAACATCCTTTTTTTTTTTTTTTGAAAGAAAAACCCTTTGGCTAGAACTCTTACCCTGAATCCACGATGTAGTCTACTCTTCATGATAGAGATGAATTCCTGATGACTTAGTTGGCCATCACCATCTATATCAAACAGCTGAAACACTGTGTCTATTACATGGGGGTTTAGTTTTAGTCCTGTGCACACCATCACTGCCCTGTGGAACAACTCTGGAAAATATCAGATGACTCAGTTGAGATGCTGGGATATGACAAGGGAGAGGGGTGGTTTTGGTCTCATGCATACACAAACATACACAGCAAGGTGGAGCAATTCTAGGAAAATGGGGCAGAAACATTCCTTTATCTTTCCCGATTATACCCTGGTACAACCTTCACAAAAAATAGACCTGAAAACAATGATTGTACACATGGCCAATGTGTAAATATTGCACTGGGATTTCAGAGGCTTTAAGAAGGTAGGAGGTAGACATTGCAATTGCAAACGGCGATCAATTGAAACTTTCGCATGTAGCAAATAGCAAACATTTGGGTGACAAAACCCAGTTGATAATTCCTACCTACATGGTAAGCATATAACACAGCTCTCTTGCAAAGCAGACTGACATTATTTTTATTGGTCTGAGACTTTTATACAGGAGAGGCATCAGCTAATAAAAAATTGACCAAAAAACAGCAAGATGTTGCAAGAGCCCTAAAGAGTATCTTAAGGAGGTTGGGGAGAAATGAAGCAACCCTTTGGATTTGAAAATCTACACAATCCATGGCCGATTGCCAAATGTGTAAATATTTAATTTATTGGTGTGTGCACTGATAATTTTTTGGGGTGTCAGATGATAAGTGTGCTCAGCTATAGCCCTATAAAATTTTTTTCTTAAACAGTGCGCGATAAATGGTTGAAGGTTTGGCAGGAAACGATAATAGCTCAATTAATTATTTCAATGTTCACAGTATTTTTTCAGTCCACATACAAACAGCACACACTATTCCAAGGACTGAAAAATACAGTTTTCTTGTGGATGTTTGTATTTCAGAAACTTAACAGACAGGATGACATTTAATCATTCAAATAACCACTTCACTTATATTAATGAAAGTCTTTATTTAAGCAGTAAACAAAATAAAGAACACAAAAGTTGATCACAATTAATTCAAGTTTTACAAAATCTCAGTTTTGATGCCATCTGATTTTAACTTCAAAGTTCTTCTTCATTTTTAAAAAGCACTGTATTCATTTTGAAAGATAATCCAATGACAAAATGATAAATGCAGATATCCTGCTTTTGGTATAGTATATACACCTTGTTGTAATAATTCCAACAATCAATCTACTATTATCAATTTCAATGGTAAGAAGTCATTTGAAAAAATAAATCTAAAAGAAATGGTTATGATTTACAAAAATTACAAGATGCTGATCATATCATTAAGCAAGAAAGAAAAAAGTTATCTATATCGATCTCTTTTATCACATTAATGATCATTTTAAGTACTGGTAAATATCAATCCAACCATTCTGTCTCGCTACAAGCAAGTGACCAACGTGGCTGACTGTCACAGCAACTGGACGCTTCACTGATACATAACCCAGTGTGGACTGTCCATCTGGACATAAGATGACCACAGCATCTTTTTCACAGTCAGTCATGAAGATATGGCCAAATCTGTCCACGCAAACTCCACTCGGATGGCTGCTGGTACACTGACCAGGGTCACTACTGTTCTGTCCTGTGGTGCCATGCTGAAAAAATTCCTCTCCCTTAGGTGACAGTACATGTACACAATGTCCACTGTTATTCGATACTACAATGTTGTTGTTTATGGGATTCACTGCTATGCCCCATGGACAGCTTCTCACTGGGAGGAATTTCCTTAGGCTGTATGTGCAGGTGGCATTACTAGTATTCATCCCAAAACAGTCCACAGTGTGAGGCTTGAAAACCAGAATGCGCTGGGGTTTGGTATCAGACACCAGTAGTTCTCCACTTTCATTCTCTGCAACTCCCCTAGGTTCCCCGAGACAACCCTGCCCAATTGTAGTCATGTGTTGGCCTTGTGGACGTATCACTTTCACACACTGAGCATCAAGATCTGTGACACATATGCTGCCGTTCTTAAGGACAGTCACACCCCACGGCTTCTGCAATTTGATTGACGACAATGGACGTCCATCTCTGGCGAACTTCTTCAGAGTTTGATGCTGACTGTCCACTATGTAAATACTGCCAAGATGGTCAGTAGCTAGTCCAGTGGGCTGACTTGGCTGTTCATCTTCCTCTTCTTTCAAGCTGGTATTAAATGATGACAGCAACTTGGGCTTGTCCATAAAATCAGGCTGAACATTGCCGACTTGATTTCCACACTGCATAATTACTGTGAATTCAGAGCATGGACTGATTCCATCCGTATTATATAAAGTCTCTTGAGGCATACTGATTGCAGTACGTTATTATCCGATTCAAACGATAAAGTTCTTAAAAAATAATTTTAATGAGTGTTACTTGTAAAACCTGTGTCCCACTTCAATGAAATGATAGTCCATATCAGTTCCTGTTAAAAGTGAGTCAGTTCTCAATGCTATCGTTACAAAGTCTACCTGATATATGGAGGCACACCTGGGATTTCACCAAACTGCAGCACCAGTGATGCACTTCTCCATATAGCAGCAACATTAATAGAGTTCCATGTAGGATATCAGGTCCCAGGTATTGCCCTCTGATAAAGAGCTGCAACCCAGTTTCAATTTTACCCTTCTAACGTAATAAAAAATCCTTATCTAAAAGGCACCTAGAAGTCTAGTTTCCCTGTATGTGTTGTTGGGTGGTACTTGAGCTAAGGCAAAGTGGCCTGATCTGGCTTAGAAGACCTCAATCTCCTTGCATGTTATGATCCAATGCCTGGGAAGGCTACCTGTTTATTTTGGTGCACCTGACCCGAGATATGTGCAGCGCTGACATTGCCATGTGGCACAACTCACTGAACAGGTGTATCAAGAATGAAGCATGTAAATAATATGTAAACAAACATGTCATAACACAGGGGGACTTGACAAATCTAATCTAAAATTACATAATCTAATAATTGCTGTATCAAAGTAGTGAATACCAGAAAATAGTGACAATTTTAGGTTTTTAATTGTAAACTGGCCTTTATCATTTTTGGCACTTATTTATTATGGCTGTGATAATTATTGGAACAAAGCCAAGGAATCAGATTATATATATATATATATATATATATATATAGAGAGAGAGAGAGAGAGAGAGAGAGAGAGAGTAAATGTCAATGTATCTCTCACACTAACAGTTCATACAGTTTAATGGAAACGTCAGCAACATCATCACAGGACATTTTGGCTGCTATAATGAACTAAACAATGTTTCTTTTCTTGTGTTTATACCAAAAGATCATAAATCAAACCATAATAAATCGACAAGATTTATAGATCATCATAAATCACGAAATCTCTTCCCTTGGCACCTGTTTCTTTCATTGTGAGGATATTCTCAAAGTCGACTCATCCTCATAAGTAATGACCACCTGTTTTGCATTAGCCTCACTTTATCAAAGTAAACAGAAAAAATTATACTGTATCACACCTGTTACTTGTTGTGATATGACAACAACCCGCTGTTATCATATCTAATTTCCAGGTTAGCTGAAGGCAGGTAATGCTGTGTACATGACTAATGTTACACAATCCTTGTATACAGACAGTTCATAGTTTTTAACTTGAGGTAAGCGACTAGTGAGACATGTATTAATGATGAAGAAACTGTTGTCCTTCATTTGAACTTTTTCATATCATATGATATCGTATATCATATCGTATTTTTTATCCCAGGTCATCTACATGTTGAGAAGATATGGATAAGATGACCTTAAGATGACCTTGTAACTTATGAAAAGCTTTTTTTAATTCCAGAATACTGAGCAAAATATGGATGACATGAGCATATATATAAAACACAATAGATAATAATTTTCAGTTCCAAGTATAAATAATAAAGCCAGTACACAGCTGACACAGAGTGAGGTACAACCATGCCAACATCTGCCACCAACAACTACCTATCCTCTGCCTTTGTCATCATTATTTATTTATCTTTTTATTTAGGCATTTGCTTATTTATTTTTGTGTTTTTCTTTTTTTATGTCACTATTTAATCATTCATATTTTTAATAAATTTTACTTTGGATATCAGTGTTTAATTTTTAAGACTAAAATTTTATTACCATTCATGAAACCATTTTACATCAATTAAATTATCTTTCAGAAAGGTGCACATGGCTCATCCCACAGTAACTATAAATAACTTGAAACTATAGTAAACATAATTAACACATAGGGTAGCAAATTGTTATACTCTCTTATTCAAAAATAGGTTACATCCACTATGAACCCTCTCCCCATGCCCTTATAAAACACATTATTTTGAATACATATTATATTAAGGAATAATAGCACTATATACGGACCACTGATGAAAATTTACAATATCTGCATGTAGATATGTTATCTACACTACAGTATTCATGTATCTTGTATGATGTATACCCAGACATGCATGCAATCACGTACACACATCTGGCATTTTTTTTTTCATATTTATTCAGAATTTATCATACAGAATATACCTCAGAGCAGCCAATGTCACTGTTGTCAATACAATACAATTTACAGAGTCAATATATTCATCAAAACAAACTACAGCTACTAAATGGGCCACCAATTAAAAATTAAGTTTGAACAATTATTCAATCAAAAAGGTATATTGATATCTTTGTACAACCTAATTCAGAATTAATAGAAATATGTGTTAATAATTATGTCCCTTAAGTCAAGAAAAAATTCACAACCAAATACCTTGAGAGACTGGCTGGTTGGCTACAGTGTAAAGCTTCATTGCCATGGAGAAATCGTCCAAGTGGTTTAAAAATTGGAAAAAGTCACGGAAGTCTTTGAAGACTATGCCCTGAAATAAAAAAAGTATTATTTGGATCAGCCTACAGTTTGTGTGACAAAGCCTAATTTCATGAGTATGTCACAAAAGAGAAGCAGAAGTGTCAGAACCAATGTACTACTTCACAATTCTCTGGATATCTGCAAGGCTTGAATGACCAAGACACCTTGTGTAACATCATTGATTATCAATGACTGTATCTACAAAAGGAAGAACAAGCACTGTGCTGTATGACATCATAAATGGACATCATAAATGTAAAGACAATAAGCTCCTAGCAACTGAATATCTACATAAGTGAATACAGTTGGGTCTTTTTACAATTATTTTGTGTATTAATTTCTCTCTGCATGTCTCTTTCAATTGTACGTGCGTGCGTGCATGCGTGTTTGTGTATGTATGTATTCCCATAATATTATCCTGATTATCTTTTACTGAAGATCAAAACAATTCTCATGCAGGAGTATGTGACATTTTATCTCAAGCAAAAAAAAAAAAAAAAAAAAAAAAAAAAAAAAAAAAAAAAAAAAAAAAACATAGCTTTCTCTGTAGAACATAGTTTTCTCTACCATGCAGACGTGTGTGACAGAGTATCGTGCAGGTATAGAAACTACAACCAAAACTATAGCACAAAAAAACTAGGATTCCAGTAAATTATGAGACATTTTTCACATCATGAATTTTTTAACAAAAAGACACTGTCCATAAGTCTGTTTCCTAATAACTAAACTTGCCATGTTAAATCATTATTTTAAGAATGTCTTTTTTTTTTTTTTATAAAAAATACATAACACAATTGAGTTAAAGAAACTGAAATGCAAAGTGTGGCGCTCAATCATTCACTATTTTTGATAGATTCTTAAATTATTTCTGCAATTATCATTAATCATGCTATCTTAATTATAAAATATAGTACTATTTACAATTAATTATAATCTTAGTAACAAAACAGGTATGAGTTTAAATAATCTGTTATCACAAATGCTTAAATGCAGCAAATATGTTATTTTGGAGAAAAATTCTGTAATCAGAAACACTTCATTGACATTTTCTGACAATCAAGAAGCAAATGGCTATTGGTACAATCACATCTTCTTCACTTTACATCACTTACACTATACAAAACTAACTAAAGCTTTTATATATTACAATCACATTTATGAGTCGACATCATAAATAAAAGCTGTCTGAACAACCACAGCTTTATCACAAGAACAATATCACACTCAGATATTTCATAAACATATTTCATAAAAATGCAACTTTATGTGGTAATCAATATTTTTTTCAATGCAAAAAGTACCGTCTTCACAATCTTGTTCCATAGAAACATTCGACAAATCATGTGCACAGGTAACCGTGGTATATATACAAATAATGACATATGATATATTTTACAGTATATATATTGTTATAAGGATGCATATGTACTACCTGGTTACAACCCTTCTGGTTTGCCTACAATAAGAAAGAGTGAGACGGGCAAGTTAAAGAGTCACCGGGACAAACATAACATGATAGAAAAAGAGAAAATTGGATAATTTGAGGAAAAAAAAATGCTCAAAGTTCTGCCTTAAAATTTGAGAAAGTACTGTTAAGCATGAGATAAACATGCTCTATTTGAAAATTCAAAAACATCTTTATAGCTCATCTCAAATATAAGACATGACAAGAGAAAAGAAGGGATACCACTTCAAATTGGCATTTAAATACAGCAAAAGATCAGTGATATCTAAAAGATATCACTTAAAAGAATACTGAAACACCATATATATTTGCCGCTAAACTCTTAAAATTGTGACTTCATTTCCAATGAGTGCCCGTAAATTACATTAAATGAAAACACACTTTGGTACACAAAAATGTCCTGTTGTAATTGTAATACCTGTGTTTTGGCCACTGAAAAACCATTCTGTTAACAAATAAATATACGAAGTGAATGGTACATAAATAGCCAGCTTTTTAAAGATTCATACTGCACAGAGAGACAGTGGTAGCAAGATGTGTGTGTGTGTGTGTGTGTGTGTGTGCACATGCGCGGTTATGTACACGTACACCATAATGTTTTTCCATACATTCTCACTGCAAATACATGCGCTTCAATACCCACCTTCTCCTCGGGTCTTCTCTCCTTCAACCTCTCAATATATTCCTCACAGTCAGCCTGGTTCAGTTGTGTGTAGTGGAGCAGCACTCTGGCAAAGTCCTCCTCGGAGATGGTTGGCATGCCCCGGGCATACTCCTCAAACTCCAGCTCTAGGACCTCCGTCTGCAAGTTCTCCATGAATCTGAAAGTTGACAGCAGAACTTGTTGGGAAATGAAGGCTACTGCACATTTATAATAATAACAACCCTTTGTCTAAAACATATAATTTGCCAAACCTTGCTCGTGCCAAGCAAGAAAGTTACAATGATGTATATTTACTGTTTGAATGCATAACCTATTTTTTCCTTACCTAGCAAAATCCTGAAAACTCAGGTTTTCTTTTCCTTTCTGTCCAAAGAAGTGTACCAGTAAAGTTGTGTCAGCATACAATGCTATATCCTCAACACCCTCTCTGTCTCCTTTCTACAAAGTCATTACAACATTCAATTATTCTCTCACTTGACAAGTCTTCAGTTCTCATTGAGAGAGTAATGAAGACAAATTCTATGTATCATTACAGGCATTACATCTTTATTAACTATTTATTATAATTTCATCCTTTAATTGAGCAGCAATTAACTTATAGCTGTATGCTGTAAGATATAGTTTTAACATATCTTATTTTAAAGTACTTCTAAAACTGCAAGGTTTTCAATGTTTTCAAATTACAGTGGCAGTAAGTTATTATTTTGAATAAAAACATAAAAATTAAGGCAATATTAATCAAGTCATTTATCACAGAAACCACTAAGAGTTAATCACACAACTGCAAAATGTGACAACCTGATAAAACTTAAGACAAGTGCATCACTGCAGTTTAACTACAAGAGCACTCAATAAGAAATCTTTTTAAACTAACAATTCATTGAAATTGAGAAGTAGTCACCTGTCACAGGGAAAAGTCTAAAAGCTTATCTTTATAATATCCATATAATATCCAAAAGTATGTTATAAATATATGGTATAGTAATAACCAAAGGCTCTCTTCGGATGTGGGAATACAACAAACACTACCAGCAAAATAATTATTTTATAAATGCTTCTTTTCAATATAAATGCATCCTGGCTTGTTGGATGTCACATATTAGTTTATTGGCATTAGATTTGGTTCTTGTTGTATGCAAACACCAGAAGAGAACCTTTAACTTGACAAAAACAATACTTTAAGCACATTGCAGACATATGGAAAAGAGTTGTAGATAGGGTACATGGATGTAGGGGGCGACACTGGGGGACTGTCAAGAGGAGACACACAGATGGTTTTGTGGAATTATCTGTACATTGAAACAATTATTGAAATCAAATTTGTTTTTCAAAGCTTCCAAATTAATCCAACCAAGAAGCTGAATCTTGAAAATTAAACATGCAGTTGCAGTCAGTCTTGACCAACAGGATGCAAGCTGATCAGAATATTCAACCAATTCTATAACATGCATATTTCAGATAGTACCGTTCTTTTTCTAGTAATGGAAGAACAAATTGTCTGGAATTTCATGTTTTTTTAATTCCATAGAATAGTTTGATTTTTCATAATTATTTTTTGTAATGAACAAGACAAGACAAACACACTTCTAGAAACAAGAACAGACAACAACAAAAAAATAATAACAGAGACGCAAATAAAAGTGGAGGATATACTAAATAAGTACTGAAAATAGTCATGACAGCATTGCTGTATTTCTCTATACTTAAAGCTTGTGTGACAGCATGCATCTAAAAAGGTTACAGTGGCAGTAAGTTTATATGTGTAACTGTTATGCCAATGTTCCATGTATCAATCTAACTGAAAAATAAGTGATTTCACTTCCTGTACATTTGCATCAATGTTACGAGAATAAAAAAAAAACTGAAATAGCACTGACTGAACAAAAATGCATGCAATTTTGCACAAATTCAAAGGAATAGAAAAACCTGCTCTGAAAAGAGCACAGTCTGCCTTATTCAGCTACATGTAACAAATTGAAATTTGAACAAAACAGATATAAACTGTAGAAATGCACCAGAGCAAGAAATGTCTTAAAGTTAACAGTTGAACAATCCCATGAGGGTGTGAACAATTCTATGGAAACGGAACTTCGAAACGTGAAGTGTTCAATCGGTCATATAATCATGAAAAATTGTGAAGTTTTATCAGAAGCTCACAAAAATTTACTACTTTTGAAATAAAAACTTGGTATGAAAAAAAACTATGGATTTCTGATCAAAAAAGACCCAAAAACTATCACTAACAAATACAGCTGTAAATTGTAATATGTTCCAAAAAAGATAAAACCCATGAGAATGCCAACTGTTACCATCCAACAAGAACACAATCATGAATTGTGAACTGCCACCATTTATCACAGAATACAACCATGATGCCGGAATCGTAAAACAGAAAACATATCCATAACAGTGAGAACTTGTTGCCATATTACGAAGAACATAACCATCAATTTTTGTATCAATTAACACCAAACAAACATGAAAAGTGTGAACTGCTGTTTGAAACACAGAAATGCCACCATCTAAGTGTCAAAAATGGAAGCAACATGAAGATGAAAGAGGGCCTACATCCCATTACCACATATGCTACATTATTGCGAGCGCCACCAGAATGATTTAACTTGCTAGCTTTTGTCCGTGCATTCACCACTCTTTGTAGCTAGAATGGATTAGGATATAGATACTAAGGTTACTGTGCTACTTTCTATTACTTAAAAAGAGTATTATCTTGTTACTGGAAGTGAAAGCATGCAGTATGAGGTTAAGTCAAGTGATCAATGAGACAAAAAATAAATTTTTTAATCAATGCAAATCTCATTTTTCCTCCTGCAAGGACTTATTGTGTTCCGTTGCTAACTTTTCTGTCGTTAGATGAAATCACGATAGTGCAATAAAAAAATGAAAAACCTTTCACCCCTAATGATCACATGACAAACCATGCATGATGACACATTTGCTGTAAGAACGCAACCTGAGCATACGCACAATGGCACATGCACGCACAGACACACACACATAAAGGAACTACATATGTACCATAAATCAACCGACATCACCCTCCAAAATATAAAAAAAATCATTTCAACAATGAATTAAAAATAAAAGAAAATTGAAAATCAAGTTCTTTACTGCCACATTCATTTGAACAAAAAATGTGGAGCAAACACTTATGTAAGTACTGTTGAAAGTAATTATGGGAAGTTTTTCAGAAAGAAAAAATTAAATAACAAGAAAATTAAATAAAACTCCTCACACACCAACTCTCAAGCATTGTGTCACCATATACTGTGATTATGCCACTACAATCTATATCCCAGTCAGTCTTCTCACAAGGAACTTAGGCATGTGCTGACATCAAGTGGTCAAAATACATATGTTAGCTATATCTAGTATTCAGATGATTTTCAACTGAAACTTCCTAAATATTTCAGTCTCATAGAATCAGATATTAAATAAGTCCAAAAAGTTTATGCCTTGTCTTTGTAATTACTTTCATTTTTCTTTTTTTTTCACATAATTCACAGCCTTTATATTCCTTGTACTCATCCTGACAGGGCAGTTTGTCATGATTATCTACAGCAACTCATATTGCCAATTACAGTGCTGTTAGTCTTGGCCTTTCCCGTTAAATCCCCTGCCAGAAGGTCTTCAATCTAAGCAGAAACAAAGAAACATATAACATAGACAACAAGACATGACACCTTTGGTTGAGTGGCTTCACGTTTTGCACAAAATATTAGTGTCCTGGAAGAAAATTTGAAAAACACTTAACAGAAAGGAGAAAAAATATCTTTTTTCTTTTTAAAAAGAACTAATTTTGCTTTAATTTAAAAAAGAAACACCAAGATTTTTGCAAAAAGTGAAGTCTTGTTTGAACAGCAGGGGCCAATCACTGAAAAACAGAGGTAATGATCATGGTCACATTGGGGAAGGTTTGGCAGGGGGGGTATGTGGCCTCCATCTTGAATATCAACGGGGACATGCAAACCCTCTAGTGTCAGATCTTCAATAGGCATACAATGGTATGAGAACCAAGTATGTAAGGGCACAGAAAGATCTTCATGAGGTTATTAATTTAAACCTGGCTCACCCCTTCATTTATATCTGCATTTGATAACATGGCAGTTTGCAGTGCAGTCAAGAGACAGATGTGAAATAGAAGAAAAAGTAGAGTCAGAGAGCCAGTAATAGCGAGGAGGATGAAGATGAACTCCCTGGCACACAAAGCATCAGAATCTCATCCATATGTGAAAACCCTGTAGAATGGAGCTGATCGGTTTTAGCATGTGTTCGTACATTGTGTCAACAAGGAAAAGCGTGCATGTGAACATAAAACGCACAAAACTGGGAACACAAAGCAAACAGGCACATGTAATACAAGAGCGCTGCAATTGCAAGGGCACCAAATCCCCGGCGAGAGCAAAAACATACATACAAGTATCATGGCTAAAAAAACCTGTGGTAATAAACAGCAACAATTACCAAATATGTGTTCTACATAGGAATGTGACGAATATGATAACCAACAATAATTTTCATTGTAATAAACAAAATTAAAATGATTAATTTTGCAAAAATTCTGATGCAATAGTGTCATGTATTTTATTGACAATGTGCACTATATATCAATGTTCACTGGTGCAAATATTAACCTTGTATCATTTAAAAGTTTCCAGTATTGCTATTTCATTATCTTCTGTGCAGAATGCTGTCATTGTTTAAGTATAAGCAATGGTTTGATATATGAGTGCAAAGAAGTAGGTAGTAAAAAGAGAATGAAAAATCTATATTACTTATGTGAAGTGAGTTTCACCTGAGGTTTAATTAGTCTAAAGATAACTTCAACGGAATTAACTAACACAAATCATCATCTGTTATTTCAACAAAGCTATATCACAGAGTAAATAGAAGATTAGTCCCAAAGAAAAAGAAGATTATTCAAATTAAGTACAGATTCCTGAAGCAGTAAGTTTATGAATTGCACAAGATATATGTTATGTCAAATAGCAACAGGAAAAGAAACTGCAATAAGACCTGTGCATACACGAGCTGCTGCAGCCAAGAAAATACCTGGCTCCATATTGATTGATATAAAGCATAATAAGTGGAAACCCAGTCATTTAGTACTGGTATATTTAGGTGTCTGTTTAAAGTGTCGAATAACAGCATATGCAGTATATATACAAAAAGCTGTATAGAAGAATTCTTTATTAGGGTAGGTATGTTTTTATGAGATTATTATATGGATACAATATAATTATTATCTTTTTTATTTTATCGAGTATATTTCTGCAGAAGAAAGTAAAGCTACATATCACTCAAATAGAAAGCACAGCAAATGTTTAATGCCACAACCCAAATAAAGCAAACTGCTTAGCAACTGGAAGCCAAATCAAGCTTCTTATAGTGAAAACACAAATACATTCCTCTGCTGAATT